GCCACTGCACCAAGACTTGTTTTCCTTTTGAGCAGTGGGGAGAGTGGGATGGGGTATTGGTCAAAGGGTACTTTAGCTAAATCTGTTATACTTTTCTTTAAAAAAAAAAAAGATCTGAAGCAAATATGATAAAATGATAAAAAGTTGATAATTCTGAGTGGTGGGAATACGAGTGTTTATTAGATTGTTCTTTGTACTTTTCTATATCGTTTCAATTTCTTATAACAAACGTAGGCTGGGCACAGTGGCTCATGCCTACAATCTCCACACTTTGAGAGCCCAAGGCAAAAGGATGACTTTGATGCCAGGAGTTCAAGACCAGCATAGGCAACATGGCCAGACCCTGTCTCTAAAAACAATTTGTTTTTAATAAAATGTGTCTAGCATGATGGTACAAGCCTGTAGTTGTAGCTACTTGGGAGGCTGAGGCTGGAGCATCCTTTGAGCCCAGGAGTTTGAGGCTGTAGTGAGCTATGATTGCACCACTGCACTCCAACCTGGGCAGCAGAGCAAGATTCTGTCTCTAAAAATAAAAATAAAAAAGCAGGCAGAGGCTGAACATGGTGGCTGATGCCTGCAATTTCAGCACCTTGGGAGGCCAAGACAGGAGGACCACTTGGGCAGAGACCAAGTTTGAGACCAGCCTGGACAACATAGTGAGACCCCATCTCTACAAAAAATAAAACTAGCCTGGCATGGTGATGTGCACCTGTAGTCCCAGCTCCTCGGGACGCTGAGGCAGGAACATTGCCTGAGCCCAGGAAGTTGAGCAGAGATTGCATCTTGCATCACTGCACTCCAGCCTGGGCAATAGAGTGAGACCCTGTCTCAAAAAAAAAAAAAAAAGCAGACAGAGGAACAAAGAGGGGCAGTGGACAGACTGCTTTTAAGGAAGCTGGAACCAACAGAGGTAAAGCCAGCTGAATTTGAAAGAATGGTAAGAGGCCCAGTGAGGCAGCTAAGGGCAGAGCCTGTGATGAGGGGCATGCATGGAGAGCTCTGTTCTCAGGGTGACAGCTTAGCAGGGAGTCCCCCAAACTGGGAGTCCCCCAAACCAGGCTCCCCTTGGATCCTGAGGGATTTCTTTGGGGATCTCACTCAGGAGCTTTTGGTAGAAGGGTGGTTACTGTTGTTCAGTCCTGAGATCTCGTGCTCCCATAGGGATACTACTGGAAGATTTCTTGATTGTGGGAGTGTCCATGGTGCCGGACATCTGCATTCACAAAGGTGGGCTCACATTGCCCCCTAGTGGTCACAGAGTCCCTGCACAAAGGTCACATTTCTCAACTTTTTTTTTTTTTTTTTTTGGAGATAGGGTGGTGCTGTAGTCCAGCACCCAGGCTGGAGTGCAGTGGTATGTTCTGGGCCAGCCTGGACCCTCGCAGGCTCAAGCAGTCCTCCTACCTCAGCCTCCCAAGTAGCTGGGACTATAGGCACGCACCGCCACGTCTGGCTAATTTATTTTTTGTAGAGACACAGTTTCACCATGTTGGCCTGCCTGGTCTCAAACCCCTGGACTCAAGTGATTCTCTGGCCTCAGCCTCCCAAAATGCTGGGATTACAGACGGGAACCACAGTGCCTGGCCTATTTCTCAGCTTTTAAGGCCCACATTGAACTCCCCTTTCACCCCATCTCCCATCCTTTACACAAGTAATCCCACCAAAGAAAGAAAGGATAGAAGGAGGGAGGAAAACTAGTAGTCAACTGTCTTTGGAGATGAAAAGAAGAATATTGTAACACTCTCCCTTGTTTCAGAAAAGATGCTTAAACAGCACTGATAACTTTCATTATTTTAAATACTGTTGTTGATAAAGGCTAAAAAATAGCTGTAATAATGCTGAGGGAAGCAGTAACGGCCAGGATGAACAAGAAGAGCAGGTGTAAGAGGATGTGGCACGGCCAGAGGGAACACAAACTGGGAAACCTGGATAGAGAGAAAAATCAAAGGCGGGATTAAGAGTGGAAAGAGCCTGGGCACTGAAATCAGGAAGAGCCTGGACCTAGTGTCTGTCACTCACTAGCTGTGAGGCTGCAAGCAAGTCATTTTGCTTCACTGAGCTTATATTTTCCAATTAAAATGGCAAAAACTGGCCAGGCGCGGTGGCTCATGCCTGTAATCCCAGCACTTTGGGAGGCCGAGGTGGGTGGATCACCTGAGGTCGGGAGTTCGAGACCAGCCTGACCAACATGGAGAACTCCTCTCTCTACTAAAAATACAAAATTAGCCAAGTGTGGTGGCACATGCCTGTAATCTCAGCTACTCGAGAGGCTGAGGCAGGAGAATCACTTGAACCCTGGAGGTGGAGCTTGCGGTGAACCGAGATCACGTCATTGCACTCCAGCCTGGGCAACAAGAGCAAAACTCTGTCTCAAAATAGTTAAAATAAAATAAAAATAGAAAATACTGCAATTACTTTTGCACCAACCTAACACATAAAATGAGCTCCTTTGATTGGTTTGTTGTTCTCTGAATTAAACAAGAGATAGTGGAGCACCATGGCTAAGTGCCCACTGGAGCCAGGGGGCCCAACGAAATGCCAGCATTTCCACTTACTGTGTAGTCTTGGGCAAGCTACTAAACCTCTCTGTGCCTCCGTATCTTGAGGGGTGTTAACAGAGCCTCACAGGTCTGAATCTGTGAGATTTGATGAATTAATGTACACAAAGTGCTTAGAGAAGTACCCAGCAAGGATCTACTAAGAGTTGACTTTTTTTTTTTTTTTTTCCCTGAGACACAGTCTTGCTGTGTTGCCCAGGCTAGAGTACAGTGATGCAATCACAACTCACTGCAGCCTCCAGCTCCTGGGCTCAAGCGATCCACCTCAGACTCCCAAGGAGCTGCGACTACAGGCACACCACCACACCCCACTAATTTTTAAATTTTTTGTAGAGATGGGGGTCTCACTTTGTTGCCCAGGCTGGTCTCAAACTCTGGGCTCAAGCAGCCCTCCTGTCTCGGCCTCCCAAAGTGCTGGGATTTCAGGCGTGAGCCACTGTGCCCAGCCAAGAGTTAGCTATTATTAATACACGTGTAAAGTGACTAGAATACAATCCATGAGTTAGTATTCCCTTTCCCCGTCTCCTGGAATCTGGCCATGGTCAAAATGTGGTATCTTCATCACATGAGCAGCATTCGAAGGGTACTCCTGGCTGGGTGCAGTGGATTACTCCTGTAATCCCAGCACTTTGAGAGACCGAGGTGGGTGGATGACGTGAGGTCAAGAGTTCGAGACCAGTCTAGACAACATGGTGAAACCGCATCTCTACTAAAAATACAAAAATTAGGCTGGATGCGGTGGCTCACACCTATAATCCCAGCACTTTAGGAGGCCAAGGCAGGCATATTACCTGAGGTCAGGAGTTCGAGACCAGCCTGGCCAACATGCAGAAACCTTGTATCTACTAAAAATACAAAAACTAATGGGGTGTGGTGGTGCACGCCTGTAATCCCAGCTACCTGGGGTGCTGAAGCAGGAGAATTGCTTGAACCAGGGAGGCAGAGGTTTCAGCGAGCCAAGATCGCGCCACTGCACTCCAGCCTGGGTGACAGAGCAAGACTCATTCTCAATAATAATAATAATAATTAAATAAATAATAAAATAAAAACACACACACAAAACCCACAAAAATTAGCTGGGCATGGTGGCACACATCTATAATCTCAGCTACTCAGGAGGCTGAGACAGGAGAAACACTTGAACCCAGGAGGCGGAGATTACAGTGAGCTGAGATTGTGCCACTGTACTCCAACCTGCGCGATAAAGTGAGACTCCATTTCAACAATAAAAAAGAGTACTCCCCAAACAAGCCTGGTCTGTACTCCACAATACCCGCCAAGTCTGTGGGCACCAGCCCTTTTGCTCCACAGATCTCTTCTCATAATCCTGAGCCCTTGCACCCCAGATCCCAGTCTTCTACGCATTATCTTGTTGGAGGAAATGGGGCTAACAGGCTTCCCTGACTGGCCAGGGGAGGAAGCTGTGGATCAGAATGCGCCTGGCCTGATGGACATCCCCAGCAGAAGAAAGAGGCCCCCAGAAATGGGGTCCAGGAATGCCTCAAGGAGCCCTGCCCATTTCGACTCTGAGACACCATCACCCCAGGGGAAGCTGCATGCCTGTGCTCAAGTATCTTGTGATCAGTGCTCAGCGAGGCAGCTGTGACCACAGAAGAGCTTTTGTTCATACACAGCCAAATGGCTCAGGCGGGCAGCCAGCACATGAGGCCGCCATCAGCCGGACATCTGACTATCAGCCGTGGCCACATTAGCAACAAGCTCTTGGCCTTTCTGAACAGCCTTGGGAAGATGTGGAAGACACAAAAGATCAGGACCAAGACAAGGTAAGGAGGCCAGGACCGGGAGCCACAGAAGAAAGAACGCACTAGCTGGGCGCGGTGGCTCACGCCTGTAATTCCAGCCCTTTGGAGCCCGAGGAGGGCGGATCACTTGAGGTCAGGAGTTCGAGACCAGCCTGGCCAACATGGTGAAACCCCTTCTCTACTAAAAATAAGAAAATTAGTTGGGTGTGGTGGCAGGCACCTGTAATCCCAGCTACTCAGGAGGCTGAGGCAGGAGAATTGCTTCAACCCAGGAGACAGGTTGCAGCGAGCCAATATCACACCACTGTACTCTAGCCTGGGGGTAGAGTAAGACTTTTATCTCAAAAAAAAAAAAAAAGGCCGGGCGCGGTGGCTCACACCTGTAATCCCAGCACTTTGGGAAACTGAGGCGGGCAGATCACGAGGTCAGGAGATCAAGACCATCCTGGCTAACATGGTGAAACCCCGTCTCTACTAAAAAAATGCAAAAAATCAGCCAGGGGTGGTGGCAGGCACCTGTAGTCCCAGCTACTTGGGAGGCTGAGACAGGAGAATGGCGTGAACCCGGGAGACGGAGCTTGCAGTGAGCAGAGATGCGCCACTGCACTCCAGCCTGGGCGACAGAGCAAGACTCTGTCTCAAAAACAAAAAACAAACAAAACAAAAAACACACAAAGAGTTTATACAAAAACCTTTTATTGACTGTATTTCTTCTCCCCATAACCTGGAACCCAGCCAGCATCTATGGCTTCCTGCTGTCTGATTCTTGAAAGTGGGGCCTTGGGAACATGGTTGGAGGCTATGGAAGGTGGGAATCTCACCCACCGGCTATGCAGGTTGAAGGAAGCTTTCTTGCCTGGCTGAAGCTACAGCAGCTTCCCAGGGCAGCCCCTCAAGTCTAGAGGACCCATCCCCCACTGAATGGGTGTGAGGAAGAGATGACACATCTTTCGGAGGCCCCATTACTCTCCTCTCCTATCCCACTCCAGGCTGAGGCCCTAGAGCTGAACCAGTCTCTCCCATGGAGATGGGGCCCAGCAGTGAGGGGAGGGGGTTGGAGGTGAGTGTGTGCAGCAGCTCTGGGTCCTCATCAAAAAAAAAGAAATGCGAAGAGGTTGGCACCTCTGAAATTGAACTGAAGTGGAACAAGGGAAGGAGGATACAGGAGAACAAAAAATGGGTTTGGGGTAGGGCCAACTATTAAGAAGCGACATGGCCCCTATGGGAGCAGGCCCTTCCAGCCCCACAAACACCTGGGAGAGGAAGAGGGAGCCCTGGCCCTACTTAGACAAAGGACTAATGAAAAAATTAACACTTTTGCACTGAGATTGCCAGGAAAGGACACCCATCAGCCCAGAAAACGGCAGCCAGCCCTCATCGGCCAGACGTGGGCTAGGCTGCCTCCCTGGCCACCACAGCCCACTCTGGGAACTGTCACCTCTGCCTCCACCATTCCTGCCCCACCGCAAGCTCTGCATACCCCCTGCCCCGATGGAGCAGATGCTGCCAACCAGGCTGCAGCTGGTGGGGCAGAAACAAGGACCCTGAGCTCCAGGCCCTGTCCCTGGGGTGAGGCCTCCCCGTGGAGATGTTAGGCTCTTTACCACAGTCCTGCTGCTTTGAGCCAGACATCCAGAACTCTCCTGGGAGGGCAGTCAGCCCACAGGCTCTCTGGAAGACGGGATCCTAGGGAAGCACGCTCGGTGAGGAAGAAGAGCCTTGAAGGTATTGGTTCCTCTCTTTCCTGTCCTAGGTCCTGCTCTGCAGGCTCAGAAGTCCGAGTCTGCATCCATGAGTTCTGCCTCCATCAGGTTGGTGCGGGAGTGAATGGGCCCCAGGCCCTGTCGGCGGCCGTGAGCCCAGGCCGTGGGGGCTGGTGCACTAGGCAGAAATGGATCCTGAGGGGGACTGGGCTCTGGGCAGAATGGGTTGGAGACCAGGGTCCACGCTCCCTGTCGGCAAGAGTCCCCAGCTCCCCAGGCACCTGCAGCCACCAGGCATTTCTGCCGGGGCAGCTGAGGCAGTCGAGGAATGGTACTAGGCGCAGGGGCAGGGGGGTGAAGCTCAGGGGGCGGCGCCAGCGGGCACACCTCCTTCTTCCTCTTCCTCCTCTTCTTCTTCCGGCCCAGGCGCTTCTGCAGTTCTGGGGAGATCTCTGCCTCAACCAGCCACAGGTTGGCTTGTTCCTCTGGGGGCACTGACAGGAGGAGAGAAAACATGAGCCTGGGGCCCTGGCTCTGTCCATGCCACCCCCACTCTCCTGGGAGCCCTTACCCTGTTAGTTCTGGGGCCCAGGCCTCTAGACTCTTAGAGCCTCAGCCCCACCTTTCAGATCCTCTGGCGCCTTTCCTTCCTCTTTCTCCTCCTTTGACAGCCCCTGTACTCCAGTCCCAGAAGCCCCCAGCCTCTGTGCCCCTCCATCTTCCTCCAGCAGCCTGAACCCTCATACCTGGAGTTGCCACAGGGGTGACAGAAATATCCTGGGGCAGTATGGCTCCTCTCCGAGCCACCATCTTGGTGACATGCTGGGCCCAGGCAGAGGAGACATCAGCTGAGGGCTCATTAAGATCAAAGGCCAAGCCCGCTGTGGGAATAGAAGGAAGGAAAGGAGAAGGAAGAGTGACTCCCCAGTCCCTGGCAGTGCCTCCCATACTCAGGGCCATTCATCTTCCCACAGCCAGTCCCTCCTGCTCACCAGAGAAAGCTCACCCTGTAACCACGGTGATCTCTACCCCTTCAGAATCTGAAGAGAAGGGCCTCAGGTCCCCAAAGGGCCTAACTGGAGGCCAGAAATCCAGTTCTTGGAACCCTGACTTACTCTTGCCCAGGGATAGCAACTGCAGAATTTAGGAGAAGGGAGAGGGAGGGGAGTCTTCTTGGAACCCAAGCACTGGCAAGCAGACCCAGGGGCAGAAACAGAGACGGGAAGCCCCCCAGAGGGTGGGAGGGGCTTGGGGAAGAATGGGTGTGTGAGTGACAGAGAGAGTGCCTTGCTCCACACAGTCAGTCTTCCAAGTAATCTGTGTGCGCCCAGCAGGCTGGGAGAGAATAGCACATGGGCAGTGCAGGGCCAGGAGGCTCCGGTGGAGGAGGGGCGAGGCTCACCCACAGGCCCATCGTGGGACACAGTGTGCATGCTGAAGGACAGCTCCTGGCCTGGGTTCTGCAGGAGCTCGTGCCGCTTGGAGAAGGCCTTGGCAATCATCTTGCTCTTCTTGATCCGCTTGGGCTCATCGTCACTCTGCCCAGTCAACCTGAGAGTAGAAGGGATAGGGAAGGAGCGTGAAGAAACAGCCGCTTCCCATCAAATCTTGGGAAGGGCCAGCGATGCCATTCTTTCCAGAGAAGGAGGCTCCCAAGGGCCTCAAGTCCTTCAAAGACTCAGGAGTAGAGGCCTTCTCTGCAAAGAAGTGCGGCCAGAATACAGAGCTCCTGTGTGCCCAGCCCTCCAATCACTCCACTCTTAAGAGATGATGACAGCTGGCTCTGCGCTTGGCCCAGGCCCAGGCATTGGGCCACTCAAGGACAGGAGGTGCCACCAGGGGGCAGTGGTGAACCACTGACCAAGGCTGCCTAGAAGCAGGACCCGACAAAACCGAAAGACGGAGTCCCAAGGCTGAGGGTGAGGTGGGCAGGGCAGGAGGGGCTGGCTACCGCGCCCACCTGCACCAGGTGCGCCTCCAGATGAGCAGCGTGGCCTTGGTCCAGACCCAGGTGCTCATGGCGATGCCAGTTCCAAACATGGCAAACAGGTTGATCTTCTCCACCAGAAGGCTCGGGCGATTCTTGATCTCACAGTCAGGGATGGGCTTCTTGGTGGGCAGTCCGATGGTCACATTGGCCTGACACCTACAGTGAGGGGATGTAGACAGGTGAGGCTTTCCTTTTTTCTCTCTCTCTTTTTTTGAGACAGGGTCTTGCTCTGTCACCCAGGCTAGAGTGCGGTGGCACGATCACAGCCCACCGCAGCTTGCAATTCCTGGGCTCAAGCAATCTCCTGCTTCAGCCTCCCAAGTAGCTGGAACTACAGGTGGGGTTTTCTGAGTCTACTGGGTAGACTCAGACAATCAACCCAAAAACTTTAGAAAGGGCTAAGCCCCACAGCGCTGATCTCAACCCTGGGTGCTCATTAGAATCAGCTGGGGAGCTTTTAATAGCTACTGACGTCTGGGTCCCGCCCCAGACAATTAAATCAAATCTCTGGGGCAGAGACTGAGGCATCATTGTGGTTTAAAGTATCCCAGACTGGAGGCCAGAACCTTTAAGGAAGAGCCTGACACAGTCAGGACTTGGACTAGCATCCATTTTAGCGGCTGTCCTTGTAACAGTGGGCACTGCGCTTCTCTCCGTAGTAGAGATGTCTTACTCTCTCCAATCCATCCTCATTATGACACAAAAAAGCACAGGCAAAACTAGCCGACACTGACAGGTCATTAACCGATCATAGAGAGGTAACTAGTCCTGTGCCGGGATCTACAGCAGGCTCTGCGGGAGAGCACGCAGAATTAGAGGGCAACTTCGTGTCAGTCACGAAGCTGAACTGGCTGCTTAACAGTCACACGTGCACCAGCCGGGCAACCAAGGGGGTGGAGAGGGAAGGGCAGAGGTGAGAAAGGATGCAAAGGTTGTTTGCCATGTTTGAGAAACTGCAGAGACTGATGCCTTATGCACCCAGACACCATCAGTTGAATCTGCTGGATGCAGCAGGGACTTGGCAAGTCCCTGCTGCCCAGTGGGTGTCCTATGGCCTTGGCTCCGGCTCCCAACACTGCCGCCTCCATGCCCCTCACTCACAGCACATAGTCCCGGAAGCTGCGCTCCCACTCAGCCTGGTTGAAGAAGTCGTAGAAGTGGCAGCTGAAGGTAATGAGCACAAAGCCAAAGGCCAGGAAGCCAAAAATGCCTGTGGAGGACAGGGGCAGGACAGGACGTTACCAAGCCCAGTCCCGCAGCAGCAGTGGGGAGGAGGGAGTCTGCCCCACTGAGGCCTCAAAGACCGCTCGGGCTGGGGTGAACTCATCCTGGGCTCAGTTCAAGAACTGCTTCCTCTAAAATAAAGAAGGGCACTTGAGGCAGCCGTGGGAGGGCCCACGTGGGATGTAGTGGAGAGGAGGAACCAGTCCCGGCATGAACTTGAATTCTTCCCCCCGAGTAGGCCCCCTTCTTCTGAGCTGCCACTACCACTACTACCTACACACACCCCTTGTCCTTGTCCCCATGGCTAACTTGTCCCACTGACTTACTGCATCCTGCTGGTCACATAGCCCCAGGAGGGTGCAGTGTTGGACTGGCCAGGACCTCAGACCGAAGTCCTGGGGCCACTCACCTAGGCGCAGCATGGTCTCATTGATCTTGCTGGCAGCCTTCTCACTCAGCAGCCCCGGGTGGTTGCTCTTGATGGAGAACAGAGTCATGACTCCTGAACAGAAGGGGGACCTCAGACATTAGCAGGGGTGAGGCTGCCCTGCTGGGAAGGATGGGTGAGTGGGAGGAGGGTCCTAAGGCTCTGGAGTCCCAAGTCTGATTACCCCTGTGCTGACTGAAAGCCTGGGGAGCTAGAGACACTGGAGAAATGGTGAGAAGTTGGTGGCAGGTCTACCAGGGACTGGGAAGACCAGGGCAGAGCCTAGACAGACACGAGAAGAGGAAACCTCGGTCGTGGCCTAGCTGCCCCTGAGGAAGGGGGCAGATCAAAGCTGTTCTGATGGAAAAGGCATAAAACAAACTCAAGAACAGCGCTATCCAATATAGTTGCTGTTTTTTTTTTTTGTAGACGGAACCCTGTCTCCCAGGCTGGAGTGCAATGGTGCGATCTCAGCTCATTGCAAACTCCGCCTCCCAGGTTCAAACAATTCTCCTGCCTCAGCCTCCCAAGCACCTGGAATCACAGGCACCTGCCATCATGCTGGCTAATTTTTGTATTTTTGTAAAGATGGGGTTTCACCATGTTGGCCAGCATGGTCTTGAACTCCTGAACTCAGGTGATCTGCCCACCTCGGCCTCCCAAAGTGCTGGGATTACAGGTGTGAGCCACCATGCCGGCCTTCCCATAGAAATATGTGATCCACATACATATGGCAATTTTCTAGTGGCCACTTAAAAGAAGTTAGAAGAAACAAGCAAAACTAGTATCAATATATTTTACAAACCCAATATATTCAAAATAAAAATCATTTCAACACATAATCCATGTAACACATTATTAATGAGATATTTTACATTTTTTTCCTGCTAAGTTTTTTTTTTAATACAGTGTGTATTTCACATTTTACAATACACCTCAATTTGGACTCGTTTCTTTTAGTTGTTGTCTTGTTTTCTTTGAGACAGGGTCTCACTCTATCACCCAGGCTAGAGTGCAGTGGCATGATCACGACTTACTGCAGCCTCAACCTCCTGGGCTCAAGCAAGCCTCTCACCTCAGCCTCTCACATAGCTGGGACCACAGGCACGTGCCACCCTGCCCAGGCAACTTTTGTATTTTTTGTAGAAATGGCGTCTCACTATGTTGTTCAGGCTGGTCTTGAACTCCTAAGCTCAAATGATCCGTCCGTCTCAGCCTCCCAAAGTACGGGGATTACAGGAGTGAGCTTGCTGCACTCAGCCTGGACTAGTTTCAACACATGTGGCTAGTGATTACCACACCAAGACAGCATGATAACGAAGCACAAATCAGAGGCCCAGACACTATGCCAAAAAGAGGGGAAAGAGGCGACTGAACAGAAGACTGGCAGTTCAGGGTGAGGAAACTGAGGTTCACAAAGGAAACCCAACAACAATGAGCTAAATAGATGCTGAGGCTTACTGTGGGATGGCAGCCCGAGACAGGAAAGTCAGGGACCACTAATTCCATGCATGCTGAGAGCTGTGTGCGCTGGGGGCAGAAAGAAGATGAAAACCAAGCTCCAGAAGATTGACAGTACATATCATTAATTTAATAATGTGCACACGGATAACCAAAGGATCCAGGTTGGGCCAAATGGGCAGAGTAGATTACTCAGGGTGTTCATCACACAAGTGCACTGGCCAGGAGCTGACTGGGGCTGGATCCTGGCCCAACTCCACCTAACAAGCTGTGAGGCTGGGCACGGTGACTCACGCCTATAATCCCGGCACTTTGGGAGGCCGAGGTGGGTGGATCACTTTAGGTCAGGAGTTCAAGACCAGCCTGGCCAACATGGTGAAACCCCGTCTCTACTAAAAATACAAAAACCAGATATGGTGGTGCATGCCTGTAATTTCGGCTATGGGGGAGGCTGAGGCAGGAGAATAGCTTGAACCCAGGAGGCAAAGGTTGCAGTGAGCCAAGATTGTGCCGCTGCACTCCAGCCTAGACAACAGAGCCAGACTCTATCTCAAAAACAAAAATAAACAACAACAACAAAAACAAGCTGTGAGCCCTGGGCCAAGGCCCTGGAGAGAGGGATGGATTTTTCTGGCCAGCACAAAGGTGTCCCGCAAGAAGTGCCCACAGTGTTTCGTCTGCCTAGAGGGTCACCTTCTACTCTGTGCAAAGGCCCTGTAGCAACTAGCTGGGGTCTCAGCATGGGGGCAGCTGTGTTGGCAGCTCCCGGCTCCCGATCACACACAGCAAGTGCCCAGCACATCTTGTTACCCAGCTGGTCCTGGTCTGGTCTTCACTCACCTCGGATGAGGAAGTAGCCTCCCACGATGAGCACCAGGCCGATTGGGGCCAGCACGAAGCCCGCACGGTATCGGTAGTTCTTGTAGCCCACAAAACAGATGCCACTCACAGAGTCCCCATCCACCTGCGGCAGGAAGGGGCGGGAGGGAAGGTGGGTTACTGGCCCCCTCCCTCAAACTCACCCTATCCAGAACTCCCGTCCCTACCAGTCACTATACCTGCGCCACAGCAAGGATTGCCACAGTGAGGACAAAGGGGAGTGACCAAGTGAGCAGGTGGAAGTAGGAGGTCTTGCCCGAGAGAGGCTGGTAGGTGGTGCCTAGGGCTTTGAAGGAAGTGTGCCAGGCATAGGTGAGAACCACAAACCAAACCACGCCAGCCATCAGGGCATAGTACACGATGACAAAGATGATGACGCAGGACAGAGTCTCATTGGAGCTGTGCAGAGAGGTGAGGTGTCACTTGAGGTGGTCACTCCGTACTCCCTCCACCTGGTCTCCCCACCCTGTGCCCAGACCCTCGGCTGCTGAGGTCTGGAGGTTCCCAGAAGTCAGGGCTTGCAGACAGGACCCAGATCAGATCTGAGGAGGCTCTAGGAGCCACCCCTTTGAGCAGATGCAAACCACGAAGGTCCTGATTCTGAAACTAAGATCCTAACACTGGACACCTTGCATGCAGTATGCAGTAAGGCAGAGCCAGATCCTGCTCTGGATCTCGGGTTTACATGCACCTGCCCCTTTTGGAGTAAACGCACACTTCAGCCTTCCTCCCTGCACCTTCACCCCTGGGTCCCCAAGACACCTACGTGGGCTCCCCAAGCCTCATGGTGCCATCTGCACGGCAGACGATCTCCCGGCGGGCACCATCCATGAACTGGGCCAGCCAGCCAATGCTGCCCACAAAGAAGCACGCATTGACGTAGAAGAGAATAACAGCAGGGTAGCGATTCGAGTTCCGCCAGTCAGCCACGAATGTGGCCTAGAAGAGAGAAGTGGGCCATTCTGCAAGGTTAGGGTTATTCTGCTGACACAGACACCCTTAACTGAGCCCCGGACCCTTCTGAGCATGACCTTTCCCTGGGGACCCCCACCAAGACCTCTTTGCCCCCCTTCCCTCTGGCTCTCTTCCCGTGTTCCAGGCAGAGTGCATCCCGGGCATGCCCTCCCGCGGCTGACCAGGGTGAAGAGCGTGCAGAGGCCTGTGACGGCCCCAAAGGCCGCGATGTAGCTGTGCATGTCCTGGTGCTCAGCCTCGGTGAAGAGCGGGTTCTGGCACTGGATGCCGCAGCCCTCCACGTCCTCGTACCAGCTCTTGGGGTTGTCTGTCCGAACCAAGGGCACTTCGCACTGGCCTGAACTGTTGAACTTGATGTTCTGCACCTCATTCTGGCACCAGGGATGGGAAAAGATGGTGTCAAGGCAGCTCAGGAGCGAGCCTCTCGTTCAGGGAAAGGTATCCAGGTAGCATGGCAGGGTGGCTGGAGATACACTTCTGGGACCTGAATCCCAGGACTGGCTTGGCAAATTATTTGGCCTCTCTGTACCTCAGTTTCCCCACTTCTTTCTCTTTTTTTTTTGTTTTTTTTTAGACAGTCTCGCTCTGTCACCCAGCCTGGAGGGCAGTGGCGCAATCTCGGCTCACTGCAACCTCTGCCTCCCGGGTTCAAGCAATTCTCCTGCCTCAGCCTCCCAAGTAGCTGGGACTACAGGCACCCACACCACACCTGGCTAATTTTTGTATTTTTAGTAGAGACGGGGTTTCACCAGGTTGGCCAGGCTGGTCTTGAACTCCTGACCTCATGATCCACCCGCCTCGGCCTCCCAAAGTGCTGGGATTACAGGCGTGAGCCACGGCGCCCAGCCAGTTTCCCCATTTCTAAGATGGTAGTACTTACCTCATGGTATGGTTTAAGGGTTAAAAGAATAAACATATATTTTTTAGAGAGAGAGAGAGAGAGACAGAGTCTGGCTCTGTCGCCCAGGCTGGAGTGCAATGGCACAATCTCAGCTCACTGCAACCTCTGCCTCCCCGGTTCAAGTGATGCTCCTGCCTCAGCCTCCCAAGTAGCTGGGATTACAGGTGCCCACCACCACATCCGGCTAATTTTTTGTATTTTTAGTAGAGATGGAGTTTCACTCTGTTGGTCAGGCTGGTCTTGAACTTCTGACCTCATCAAGTGATCCACCTGCCTCGGCCTTCCAAAGTCGTGGCATTACAGGCGTGAGCCACTGTGTCCGGCCAGTTTGTTTATTTGTTTGTTTGTTTTGAGACAGAGTCTCACTCTGCAGCCCAGGCTGGAGTTCAGTGGCACGATCTCAGCTCACTGCAACTTCCGCCTCCCGGGTTCAAGCGATTCTCGTGTCTCAGCCTCCCGAGTAGCTGGGACTACAGGCGCCACAAAATCAGACTTATGTTTGTATTTTTAGTAGAGACGGGGTTTTGCCATGTTAGCCAGGCTGGTCTGGAACTCCTGACTTCAGGTGATCTGCCTGCCTTGGCCTCCCAAAGTGCTGGGATTACAGGCGTGAGCTTATTATAATGGTATTTGGCATATAGTAAACAGGACTAATTGGTATTATTACTATAATTATTACTGTTATTATTTTCATTGAAGATCTCTCCTGCATCACTCAGAACTAGCTCACGTCCCCTGTCTTGGTGGCTCTAGCTGTTTCACATGCTCATGCCTTGACTCCCAACATAGATGAGAAACTTCCTGATAGGCTCCCGTCATCTGTGATGCCCAAAGCACCACAATACCCAACATAGCCAGTGCTCAAAACATTTTGCTGAACATGTGATCACTGATAAATAAATAGAGAATCCCTAATAGACGGGTCCAGCCAGTGAACTGCAGTTTGAGTTTGTGGCTTGCTGACCCCATGGCTGTAGGCTCAGGGTCTCCAGGAGACAAAGCTCTGGGCTCCCCTGCTCCCCACTGGACCCTGCCCTATACCCGGTCCTGCCCAGCCCAGAGAGCCTGGACCTTGTCTCACAGAGCACTCACCGTGCAGCCTTCAGGGAAGCGGTCAGGAGTGCAGCGCAGGAAGTCAGGCCAGCCCCGCTCCCTCTCCACGATGGCACAGGGGCCTCTGGTGGCCTGGCAGAGGGTACGGCTGGGCAGCTCCACCCGGTCATTCTCACACTTGGGCATGTATACGGCACACAGCAGGGGCTGGATCACTGCCCAGCAGCGGGGAGCATTCCGGAGGCCTGAGGGTGGCAACAGAATCGCAGTGAAGGCCCTTCCTCACTCTGACCCACAGACACAGCTGCACCCCTGTTCCCCAGGCCTTTGCCACACTGCAGCCCATCACTGGTCAGACCTGGCAGGTACAGTGTTTCTCAACAGTGCATCTGGGCAGGACAGTTCTTTATACTGTAGGACTGTCCCATGCATTGCAGACACTTAGGATTCCTAGACTCTGCCAACTCAATGCCAGTAGAACCCAGCAGTGATTATGACAAACAAAAACACCCCAGCCCTCTACTCTAGGGACGGTGACTAGAAGAGAGCCTGGAGAGGAACCTCTGGGCTGCTGGGAATGTTTTATTTCTTAATCTGGTACTGGTTACACGGGATGCTGGGAATATTCTATCTCCTGATCTGATACTGGTTACAGGAGTGTATTCACCCTGTGGGAATCAAGTTCATGATCTGGGTGCTATTCTGTATGCTTACTATAATTTGAGTTTTAAGAAAATAACTGCCGCTTCCAGATGCCCTGCTAGGGAGTGGTAATGCCTCTGGTAGAGCTCCCCGGGGTGGATTTACCTTTTCAGGGGTGCACCCAACCCTCACGGGGCCCATTTGCTAGAACCAGGAGATGTTTCCCTTTGCCCAGACCCCAGAAGCCTTGTTCCTCTTACCAAGTGGAGTGAGAGAGAGAAGAGATGGGGGCTTAAGAAGAGGTAGTCAGAGGAGCCAGGCACTCCAAAGCCAGAGGAGGAAGCAGGAAGTCAGATGGAGAGGAACAGAGGAGGCTCTGTCCAGTGCGGAGAGGGGAAAAATGCTGTCAGCAAGACAGAAACAGATGGCGATCTCCCAGCACCCCTCCCCAGCATAGTCCTCCACCCTGCCCATCACAGAAGCCCCTCCTGAATCATCCCGGCTTCAGCAATATCTATTTCCCAAACAAGAAGTTGCATTAGGAGAGAATATGACGATGTGAGAGCCAATGTGGGTGCTGGTCACATTTCCAGGCTGGGGGTGGCAGAGACAGGTAACCTCTCCTTTGGAGGGAAGGCAATATAGTAGAGGGGTAAGGAGCATGCGCACAGCAATTGGCCAGCCTGGGTCCAAATCTTGGCTCCACTCTTTCCTGGCTCTATGATCTTGCGCAAAGTACTTTATCTTTAGCCTTAGTGGCCTCATCTGTAAAATGGGGATGATAGATTTACCTTATGGAACTGCTGTGAAAAGTGAGATAACACTTTAAATGCCCTTGGCAGTACCTGTTATGTAGTAAGCGCTCAGGAAATGTTAGCTCTTATGATTATTTGTTTGAGGCCTCTGACTGCTCCCAGCTTTCAGAATATATTCCAGGGTGCAGAGCAAGTTTCTGCCAGTTAAGAAGCAATGCCCTCCTCCGGCCGGGCGTGGTGGCTCATGCCTGTAATCCCACTTTGGGAGGCCGAGGTGGGTGGATCACGAGGTCATGAGATTGAGACCATCCTAGCTAACACAGTGAAACCCCGTCTCTACTAAAAATACAAAAAATTAGCCGGGCGTGGTGGCGGGTGCCTGTAGTCCCAGCTACTTGGGAGTCTGAGGCAAGAGAATGGCATGAACCTGGGAGGCAGAGCTTACAGTGAGCCAAGATCACGCCACTGCACTCCGGCCTGGGCAACAGAGCGAGACTCTGTCGCAAAAAAAAAAAAAAAAAAAAAAAAAAATGGCAGCAATGTCCTCAGGCAACAGTTCCCACTTGACTCAATTCAGTTACCAGTTGGCCAGGCGCGGTGGCTCACAGCTGTAATCCCAGCACTTTGGGAGGCCGAGGCGGGCAGATCACCTGAGGTCAGGAGTTCAACACCAGCCTGGCCAACATGGTGAAACCCCGTCTCTACTAAAAATCCAAAAATTAGTCAGTCCTGGTGGTACATGCCTGTAATCCCAGCTACTCGGGAGGCTGGGGCAAGAGAATCACTTGAACCTAGGAGGCGGAGGTTGCAGTGGGCTGAGATGGTGCCACTGCACTCCAGCCTGGCCAACAGAATGAGACTCTGCCTCAAAAACAAAACAAAACAAAACAAAACCCTAAAAACAGTCACCAGAAATTCTCAGCACATGGGTACTTGTAGAAAACAGAGAAGTAGGTGCCAGGGATTGGGGTGAGGGCAGGGTTTGCCTACAAAATAGTAGCATGAGAGAATATATGGGGGTGAAAGGACTGTTCTCTATCTTGAATGTGGTGGCTGGTTACACAAGTCTATGCATTTGTCTAAACTTAGAACTGTTCAACAAAGAAAAAGTGAATTTTACTGGATATTTACTTTTATTGCACAGTATATTTAAAATGGGGGGAGCTCTCTGGAGTAAAATGGTTTAGAGAAACATAAGGCAGTTAATAAAAAGGTTGTGTCGGCGGGCATGGTGGCTCAAGTCTGTAATCCCAGCACTTTGGGAGGCCGAGGTGGGTGGATCATGAGGTCAGGAGTTCAAGACCAGTCTGGCCAACATGGTGAAACTCCGTCTCTACTAAAAGTACAAAAATAAGCCGGGTGTAGTGGAGGGCACCTGTAATCCCAGCTACTCAGGAGGCTGAGGCAGGAGAACCGCTTGAACCCTGGAGGCAGAGGTTGCAGTGAGCCAAGATGGCACCACTGCACTCCAGCCTGGGCAATAGAACAAAACTCCATCTCATAACAAACAAACAAAAAACAAAAAACTGTAATTTTTCTCAATCTTTTTATATCTGTGATAACAATCAGGTTTTAAAAATGTGTAATTTGATTGTTTTTTTTTCCCTCTCATCGTGAATATGGTTTCATACCTTAAAAATAAAACTCCCCAGGAAAAAGAGAAATTATTAAATAAATCTTTAAGGACAACTGAGAAATTATCTAGGGAAAAAATAAGGTGGATCTTTACTCCATTTCTTACGTAAAAGTCCAGATGGATAAAAAATAACTACATTGTTTTTCTAAAAATTAAAGTTTTAGAAGAAAAGACGGAAATGATCTTTTAAACCTTGGAGTGGAGAAGGCCTTCTGAAATGACACAAAACCTACACACCATGAGATAAAAGATTTAAACAAAAGACTTCAGAAAAATCAATACAAAATCATAAGAAAAGACACTCAAAAAATATATTTTCAATGCTTATCACAAGAGCTAATTTCCTTATATGCACAGAGCTCCTCCAAATCAGTAAAAATTGCATAATTCTATAGAAACATAGGCAAAAGACAAATAACAGATCACATTTGCAAATGTTTTGATCTTTATCACTAAGTGATAAAAAGTATAAAAGTTTTTAAAAAGAGTATTTCATTGTAGTTTATTCCACATTTGTATTATTAAGAGTGAGGTCGGCCGGGCACAGTGGCTCAAGCCTGTAATCCCGGCACTTTGGGAGGCCGAGACGGGCGGATCACGAGGTCAGGAGATCGAGACCTTCCTGGCTAACATGGTGAAACCCCGTCTCTCCTAAAAAATACAAAAAAACTAGCCGGGCGCGGTGGCGGGCACCTGTAGTCCCAGCTACTCGGGAGGCTGAGGCAGGAGAATGGCGTAAACCCAGGAGACGGAGCTTGCAGTGAGCTGAGATCTGGCCACTGCACTCCAGCCTGGGCAACACAGCGAGACTCCGTCTCAAAAAAAAAAAGAAAAAAAAAAGAGTGAGGTCGAACATCTCTTTACGTTTTTTTTTTATTTTTATTTTTTTATTTTTTTGAGACGGGGTCTCACACTGTTGCCCAGGCTGGAGTGCAGTGGCATAATTACAGCTCACTGCAGCCTTGAGCTCCCCAGGCTCAGTTAATCCTCCCACCTCAAATTCCTGAGTAGCAGAGACTACCAGCTCACACCACCACACCTGGCGAATTTTTGTATTTTTCTGTAGAGACAAGGTTTCACCATGTTGCTGAGGATGGTCTTGAACTCCTGGGCTCAAGGCCATTTAATGGCCTTTAAAAACATAAAGAGCCGGGCGCGGTGGCTCAAGCCTGTAATCCCACCACTTTGGGAGGCCGAGACGGGCGGATCACGAGGTCAGGAGATCGAGACCATCCTGGCGAACACGGTGAAACCCCGTCTCTACTAAAAAATACAAAAAAAACTAGCCGGGCACGGTGGCGGGCGCCTGTAGTCCCAGCTACTCGGGAGGCTGAGGCAGGAGAATTGCTTGAATCCAGGAGGTGGACGTTGCAGTGAGGCGAGATCGCTGTTGCACTCCAGCCTGGGTGACAGAACAAGACTCTATCTCAAAAAAAAAAAAAAAAGAAAGAAAGAAAGCAAAGCGAAGACTGTACTATAAAGAGTATGAGGGGAAACTGGCACTTTTATATTTGCTGGTAGGAATGAAAATTAGTAAACACTTGTGGAGATCACTTTGGCATTATCTACCTTTTTTTTTTTTTTTCTTTTGAGACTGAGTTTCACTCTTGTTGCCCAGGCTGGAGGGCAATGGCGTGATGATCTCGGCTCACTGCAACCTCCACCTCCCAGGTTCAAGTGATTCTCCTGCCTCAGCCTCCCTACTTTTTCTCTTTTCTTTCTTCTTTCTTTCTTTCTTTTCTTTTTTTTTTTTTTTGAGACGGAGTTTTGTTCTCGTTGCCCAGGCTGGAGTGCAATGGCATGATCTCGGCTCACTGCAACCTCCACCTCCCAGGTTCAAGTGATTCTCCTGCCTCAGCCTCCCGAGTAGCTGAGATCACAGGCATGCGCCACCATGCCCGGCTAATCTTTTTGTATTTTTAGTAGAGACGGGGTTTCTCCATGTTGGTCAGGCTGGTCTCGAGCTCCAGACCTCAGGTGATCCGCCTGCCTCGGCCTCCCAAAGTGCTGGGATAACAGGCGTGAGCCACCGCCCCCGGTCCCAAAATTTTATACTAGTACTTCTACTTCACATGTTCCAAAAATAATATAGATTATTCATTGCAGCACTGTTTGTAATAGCAAAAGAGTAGAAACAGCTTGAATTCATACCCATCAATAGGAGACCAACCAAGTAAAATAACGTACACCATTATAATAGAACACTTTTCAGGGTAGAACTATAGTCACGTGTTGCTTAACAATGAGGATATCTTCTAAGAAATGTGTCACCAGGCAGTGTCATCTTTGTGTGAACATCATAGAGTGCACTTACACAAACCTGGATGGTAGAGCCTACTGCACACCTAGGTGATACGGTATAACCTACGGCTCCCAGGCTGCAAACCTGTACAGCATGTTGCTATACTGAATACTGCAGGCAACTGTAACACAACGGTGAGTATCCCTGTATCTAAACATATCTAAACATTGAAAGGCTACAGTAAAAATGTGGTATTATAATCTTAAGGGAACACCATCACATGTGGTTCATTGTTAACCAAAGTCTCCTTATGGGGTACATGACAGGATGTGCATTGAAATGGAATGATGTCCAATGTTGTGATGTTACATGGACTCAGTTGAGTGGAGAACAGTCTATAGAGCATGGTACTGGTTGGGCGGTAGAGGAGAGACTAAGCACATCTACATCTAGACAGATGTCAGATATTTCCAAAAGGACACACAAACCAGTGTTGGTGGTTACTTCTGCAGAGGAAAAATGGGTAGCTGGATGCAGAAATAGGACTTAACTTGTTCCTTTTGAATTCTGTGCCATGTACATGTATAACCTATTTTTTAAAAGTAATTAAGCTTAAGGCAGAACATGGTGGCTCACGCCTATAATCCTAGCATTTTTGGGAGGCCCAAGGTGGGTGGATCACTTAAGCTCAGGAGTTCGAGACCAACCTGGGCAATATGGCCAAACCCCATCTCTACAAAAACAAAACAAAACAAACAAACAAAGGAAAAAACAAACAAAACTTGAACTTAAAAACAAAATAAAGAAATACACAAATTACTAGGATGGGGAAGCTTTCCAAAGAGAAAAGAAGGATATGAAACTGAAAAGAGAAAGAAAGGGGATATCAGCTTTATCTGTATTATTTTATTTCTTTTAATAAAATATGAAACAAAAAGAGAAACAGGAATACAGGTGCTACCACGCCCGGCTGATCTAGACTTTTAAAAAGACTTTTTATTGGTGTGATTCTGATGATGAATCAAGTTGAGTACCACTGTTCTAAGGCTGGTTTAATATTAGAAAGTTCAATCAATGCAATTTACTACATTAACAAGTTAAAGGAGAAAAAAAATCATATTATCATCTCAATGGGTGCAAAAAAAAGTTGATAAAATTCGGCCAGGCACGGTGGCTCCCACCTGTAATCCCAGCACTTTGGGAGGCCGAGACGGGTGGATCACGAGGTCAGGAGATTGAGACCATCCTGGCTAACATGGTGAAACCCTATCTCTACTAAAAATACAAAAAATTAGCTGGGCGTGGTGGCACACGCCTGTAGCCCCAGCTACTTGGGAGACTGAGGCAGGAGAATCGCTTGAACCCAGGAGGCAGAGCTTGCAGTGAGCTGAGATCGCATCACTGCACTCCACCCTGG